TTTTTTTTTTTTTTTTTTTTTTTTTACACTGTGCATTTTTTATGTAACAATTATATTTTATTAATTAATAACTGACTTCATTGGAGCTTCCTGGTTGCACACAATGGAAGATTGTGGACCTACAGTCTTACGTATTGTAAGGCCTTTGAGACAAGAATGATCTTTTCTATGTAATAATTTGCTTAGCACACTTTGGGCATAATAACAGTAGCAGCAACAACAATACTAATATTAATCCAGGCTTAGAAAACGAGCACATTTTTTTGGGGCAGAAGAAAAAAGAATATCCTTGGTGGGCTCACAAAGCAGCCTTTGTTTGAAGCATATAGCAAGATTTCATATGATAAAGATTTAGGTATCATTAACTAATTACCAAGAGTTTTTAGGATTTCTTTAGTATCTTTTAGTAGTTTTAAAATTTCTAATTGTACATACAATAAAACTGTCAATAGTAATAATTAAAACATTGATTTAGTTGCACTGCTGTCTCTGGCAGTGAAAATACTGGGGTTCACTGACCTGTCCATTGTAGAATTTGGCAGAAATATTGTTTAGTTAAGCTCAAACAGCAGAGATAGTAATAAATCATGCAGTCATCAGTTCTTTTGTAATCTAGTATTTATTGAAGTAGGATATTAATGAAAAATGAATACTAGTAGTTAGCCAACTTCCTAGCTCAAAAAAATGAACATGCTAGATATTACTTTCTCATATAATTTGTTCAGAAATTTCTGTTGTCGAAATGTCTGGTGAAAAAGCACTTCAATAGAGCCTGTGTTTTTGATTAACAAGGTAAGCTGCATATTTGATAACCTTTTTAATTATGATTTGGGTTATATTCATTTGCTAGGAATACCTTACAATGCTTCTATTAATTCTGCTAACCATTACCTTTCCTTTTATAAAATAATTGGTTTTATTTTTATAATATGAATTAGACTAAGACATTCTAGAAACATTGAAGACCTCATCTTGAATGCTCTACTTGTCCTGTTGACTTACAAGGTTAAGATAATAAGTAAGTGTGGGCTTTTCAAATGTTCTTAGTAGTGGCCTAGGTCTGCATATTCTTCTGGCTTTAGAAAAATCCCACTTCTGTCTGTATTATATAGTTTTGCCTCTGTCAATTGCGTCTTGGCTATCCAAACCCTTGGTTATCTGCAATGCTCCCCCCTTTGGTTTTGCTGCTGCTTCCAAACCTCCAGGCTTCCCTGCCTTCCTCCAGGTTCCATTACCTGTACCTACCCCTGGGGCTGGGGCAGAGCAGCGTAGCTTGTGGGGCTGCGGGAGCCTATCGGTACAGGATTGGGGAGATCTGGGGATCTGCATAGCATCTGTGCTGGTGCAGTGCAGTTGGAGTTGCCTCCTGCAGTGGGGACTGAGGGTGGCATGTAGCAAGGGGGTGCTGTGCAGCGTGGCACAGTACATCTATTCGTGCAGTATGCTTCCATAGCATCCTGGATGCTTCCAGGATGATGCTACCCTGTGCTGGTAGAGGCCTGTGGTGCAGGTGGGTTGGGAGGACTTGTATGATCCGTTGGTGGGGTCAGGGGGGTTGTTCACATGGCATGGCATGCAGCCTGAAGACTGTGTAGCTGGGGGTCCTGTGGCTCCCAGACACCCAGACGTTGGACTTGGCTACATGTTGACTTTATGGAAATAGGAGACTTCTCCCCTAGCTTGCTCCTGCGGCCATACGGCTGAGGGCAAGCAAAACTCAGGGGCATCCAAACCCCAGGCCTATGGGCTTGGGCCTGCATATAGGATGCCCACCAAAGGATTTGGAAGTATCTGAAGTCCCAGGTGGGTGGAGGATGCTTTCCGGTAGCAGGGCCATGTATGGTTCTTGAATGTTTCACACGGATTTGGAGTTGATTTGGCTGATTTGACTTGAAACAAAACAAAACAAAAGGTTGGATAGCCCTGCTGTAACTAACCCAAACCAGTTTTTCATACTGTTCTTTTTAAGCATTGTTTAGTACTGTGATGTATGTTTGCTTTTCAGTTCCATACAATAGCTTGCAACTGTTTCAGTTACGCAAATGACTTCTCAGCAGGTGCTTTCCAAAGGAGTTTGGATAATCATAGAATCACAGAAGTCGGGTCGGAAGGGACCTTGTAGATCTTCAAGTCCGACCCCCCGCTTGGGCAGGAAAAAAACTGGACTCAAATGAGTCCAGCCAGGTAGGCATCAAGCCTCTTCTTAAAGACCCCCAGGGTAGGAGTCGTCACCACCTCCCTTGGAAGTTGGTTCCAGCTTCTAGCCGCCCTAACTGTGAAGTAGTTCTTGCGGATGTCTAATCTAAACCTACTCTCCAATAATTTGTGTCCATTATTCCTTGTCATGCCAGGGGGTGCTAGGGGAAACAGTGTCTCCCCCAAACCCTTCTGGTCCCCCCTAGTGAGTTTATAGACAGTCACCAGGTCCCCCCTCAGCCTTCTCTTGTGAAGGCTGAACAGGTTTAGGTCCCGCAGTCTTTCATTGTAGGGTCTGCCCTGTTGTCCC